ACGGGAATGCCACAGAAGCAGCATCCTCGATCTTTAAGAAAAACTTTTGCTGCTTTATTCCAGTCTACAACACTTTCTGAACATGGGCAGTGGCCACTAGTTAAAGTGTAGAATGAAGAGTGCAGATACTGGGAGTACAGCTGTAGTCTTACATAAACCAACAGATGAAATTAAAGTTTAATGAGCCTATCAAGGAAAACAAGGAAAAAGGAATAGAAGAGACTAAAGTGACCAGAAAACAGCATCTTGGAATCAAAGGCGTAGGACAAAAGAGGAATTAGTTTGATTTGATTTGTGTATGAGACCTATTTTAATGAGTGATGAAACAGTTAAGATCTTCAAATGTTAGGATCCTAATATACATCAAGTGTATAGCAACACCAGGCAGTTAAAACGTTTTTAAAAAAAGTAATGCCCAATATTACATACTTTCCCTTGAAAGCAACAAATCCAGTCTGGGTCATTACTATATTGACTACTTGTTTTTTGCCTCCACAATAACACCGTCAGAAAGAAAGCTTCTAAAAACTTTCCTTCTTCCCCTTCTGGAAAGAGAAAAAGATCACATAAAATGAGTGATCAGTACTTTTAGAAGCTGGAAATAGTTTAAAAATATCTAGCAACAGGACCCCACTATGTAGAGGACCTAAGGCTGTGCCTGTGGAAAAGCTCTTCAAGACAGTTTCTGAGCTGTATTTCACAGGAACTATAGAGCACTGGCCTTTGGTAAAGGCCTACATGCCTCCAAGCATGAGTTAAGAGTTTCACCTGCTGCCAAGTCTCCAAATCACCCACGCCCATCCCTTACCCACTCTCCCAACCCAGGCAATGGCTGCCCTGCCCAGCCTAGCTCCCAGCACTTTGAATAAAAAGGCCCCAACTCACCAGCTGCTGCCAGGTGGAGGAGGGAGATCCCTGCTGCCCCACACTGTGTACAAGCCTCCCAACGCTTGCCCACTCCCCCAACCTCCGTCCATGGCTGCCCTGCCCGCCCCAGCTCTGGCCCTTTAAGAAAAAAAAAACCCCAAAACCTCTGGGCTCACCGGTTCCTGCCTCATGGGGTGGGGGCGATCCGCACTGCCCCATGCCATGTGGTGGTCGCTCTGCATGAGCCCCCCAAAGCCCGGAGGCTGCTGCAGGAGCCAGTGAGTCTGGGGGGGGCTGTTGTTTTTTCTTTTCTTAAAGGGGTGGAGCTGGGGTGGGGAGGGCAGCCATGGGGAGCCGGGGGAGCAGGGAAAGGGGTCGGGGGGCTTGCAGCAGAGCCTCCACATGCAGAGGGCGACAGTGGGGAGCAGCAGGGATCATCCCCTGCCTGGCAGGACCTGGTGAGTCAGGGCTTTTTTTTAAAGGGCTGGGAGCTGGGGCTGGGTGGGGCAGCCATGGGGAGGGGGCTGGGGGAGCAGACAGGGGTCAGAGGGTGTTCAGGGGGGCTGGTGGGGGCCCCCC